TTTCATAAAATATGGCAAAGATGATATGGTACGAGTGAATTTATAGTACCAAAACCTTAGATCCACAATGATCAGAAAACGATGAACCAATATATATATATATTCAGATAGAAATCAAAACAAAAGACAGAAATAAGTAAACAGGACGAAGAATATCATCATCATCATCATCATTATATATACTCCGGTCATTATTATGCAGTTCCTTGGATTTATCCTAAAAAGAGAATCTGTTTACAGAGAGTTGGACCATCGGACAATATTGATTGATCAACACAAGTTGATAGATTTTAAATGATACAAGTGTCGGTTGTACATAGAGTAAAGACTTAACAAGAATATATATATATATATATATATACACTTCTTCTCTAACTAATTTCCAAATATTAAAAAAATTAGTTGAGTTAGTTATTTATAACAAATATTTTAATTTTTCTAAACTAAGTTAGTTATTTATAACAAATATATTTTAATTTTTCTAAACTATCATATTGAATCATGTGCATTGAAATTATCTTGTGAGTGACAATCCTAAAACATGTGCAATTAATTTGCATACTTCAAGAAAAAAATTATAAGTTTAGAAGGCAAAGTGAATTGATGAGATCTTATATTTATTATGATCAGAGTAAATCACTTATCTCCTATATTTAAAATCGAACATAATATGTATGAATATATATATGTATGTGCACCATTTTAAGGAAAAGAGCACAAGTTCGAATATCAGAAAGCGCAGTTATTTGGAGGGCTTTAACTTTAACACTGCTGATCTACCATAGATTAATCTCTAGTCCAAAGTGGTTTGAGCACATTCTGAGTTATATAAAAAAGAAACATGTATGTGCACCCGCATGGGTTTTATTTGAATGTGTGATATGTGTTTTTCTCATTACAATGATCAATTTAAGCACACGCGCATAAACATATTAACTAGGGTTTGAATTCGGGACATTGTGTGAGTATGATGATAGGTTGCGCTGCTGTTGAGGCAACTAGCCGTTCACATGAATGATATGGGTTGAATAATGATACATAAGTTGCTGTTGTTAATTTGTTTTGTAGCGGTGATGGGTTGTAGCTGATAAGATTGGAAATAAAAAGGAAAAATGATGATAAGAAGCAAAGTGGGGCGAGTGGGTCAACTTCCTTACTGCTTGTGCCTTGCTTAGCCTACAACGCATGCCATTCCCAACCCAATTTGCAGAAAAAAATGTTCAGCATCCTTTTTTTTCATATCATTATTAAGAAGAATGGTCTAAATTAATTTTTATTTGTTCCCTGGCTCAGTGGATAAGAGCTCATCTTCGAAAAATAACATGGGTTGGATTTTCTTGTTATTATAAAAAAAAATGAATCTTGATTACTGTTATTTACACTTTCCTTTTTTTCAATTTTAATGTAAATAAAAATGAGAAAAAAATCACGGAAAAGAAAAAAAATAGATATTTTTAGACGATGGAAAAAATATATCTTGAATTAGAGTTAGAGACTCGAAATAAAAGAAAAACAGAATATGCAGGTCGACTAAATCTTGAAGCATCCCCTTCAAAGAAAGAAAAAGATGTTAAAGAAGATTATGCCAGATCCGACATAAAAAAAGGTGTAAAAAAAAAAAAATAGACGAACAACATTGAAACAGAACTTAATTGCTTTCTAAGAAGGTATTTGTTTTTTCAATTGAACTGGCGTGATTGCTTAAATAAAAGAATAATAAATAATATCCAAGTATATTGTCTCCTGCTTAGACTGAAAAATATAATTCTGACTATGGTTTGAATTATAAGTGAATGATTTAATTGTAGTTTTTAAAAATGAGAATAAAACTAATGGTAATTAGTTTTGATATGCAAACAAGATATATTGATAGGAACGTTTATCTACATTCCAATCCCACCTTGTTAAATAAAAAAAAAAAACTCCTAAAAAATGTTGATAGTTTCAAAGTCTCGATTCGGATTAGTCACTTATTTAAACACTTAATCATAGGATTAAAAAAAAAGTACCTAGAGGGTTATTTTTTTTTTTAAAAAAAACCTAGAAAGGTTATCTTGCACATATACACAAACACATAGATTAATTTTAGACATCGTTATGCACATAATAAAAATATTATACAATTACATCATAGATATTTTGTCACAGCCAATCATTCATGGATTAATAATACTTGATGCCTTGATGGGTAGGTCACAAAGCAGTGTTTGTGAAATGAAAGCAAAAAGAATTATCGGTTGGTGTTAGAAACACACATGGGAGGATCTGATTCACCCAAAATGAAACCTCTATATATGTGTGTGTACGTATGTATGTATAAATTAATAGTTTGGATCTATTTGCTGATCTAAGACAGCGAAGGAACACACTGAAGTTTAATTAGGTGAAGATGCATAGATGAACTTTGATTGTGTCTACCTTTTTATGCTTGCCAATTATTTTATAGGTCGGTCGAATGGAAAGAATTGGACAAAAGAAAGGGAAGATTGCAATTAAAAAAATCACAGTTCATATAATTTTTTATAAATGTTTTTAAATTAAATTAATTTTAATAATTGCAATTAAAAAATCACAATATTTGTTCAATTTCTTTCTTTATTTTTTTTTTAAAAGAAGGTGATGATGCATGATGCACCCCTTTTGTCTGTGGGATTTTTTTCTTTTATTAAAAAAATTAGCTGTTGGTTGATAGGCTAATTTGGCATGTGGAGGGAACACATGGCCAACCTAATCACATCAAGTTCTTAATTAAATACTTTATAATCTGATTACAGGTTTCAGATTCTAATCTCTTACACCATAATCATGATTCCCTAGAAAAATTGGTGGGTGGAAGTATCACATAAGTTATAATATGAACCAAATCACTATCGATCCTTAAAAAAATACTTTCTCCATTCTTTTTTATAAAAATAAATATATACTTTCTTAATAAAAATATAGATTAATTCAGATAAAAGCTTTAAATACGTAGGGAAACAATTTTTTCTCAATAATATCCTTAAGAAAGTTGCATGAAAATTATGAGAAAATATTCCTATCCTCTTTAATAAGGGTATAAATAGAAAAAAAAATGCTATACACAAGAGCAAATTTTTTTTGTAATAAATTAAAGGACAAAATTAAACTCATATTTATTCTTTTTAAAATAAACAGAGGGAATAATATAGTTTTATGTTTTTTAAAATAATCATTTCTTCCCTTTCTACAATTATTATAGTTATTTTTATCCTCATAGATATTAATAAAGCTGAAGGAAAATTTCTTAAGCACCGTCACATATTAATTTTTTATTTATCATATTTAATATTGATTAGACAATGCACGCTTATGTTATATGGGGTTTAAATTATATAAACAATACAACTTGTTATAAAGATTAATATTTATTGATACTGATTGTTTTTTTTTTGACTTAATGATACTGATTGTTTTTTTTTTTTGACTTAATGATACTGATTGTTTTTTTTTTTTGACTTAATGATATTGATTGTTTTGAAAAATATTAAAAACATACGTTTTTTTATAATTATTTTTTACATATTTAATATTAAAATTTAAAATAGCCTTAATATATAGGGAGGATCTCAAAAAAATACTTTTGAATTTCAAAATTCTAAATTAGTCTTGTTTACTACATTTTAATGATAATTGATCATATTTAAAAAGCAAATAACAACACATTTTTGTAATTATTCTTGATTTGGAATTTTAAAATTTTAAAAGTATTTTTTTCGGATTTTTCCTAATATATAGAATTGAAGGGGATTTTAGGTAGGACCATGGAAAGGACAAGTCAGGCCAAAGCCACATGTAGGATTGAAGAAAATGTTAAAATAGCAATATCTATGCACTGCTTGATAATCACAAGTACACTTGCATCTTTGTGGTTCTGATTTATTTGGAATCTTAACTTCACAAATATTGAAGCCTTTTTGTTTTCCTGCTTCTTGTTTTTTCTTCGGCCATGGAAATAATATCATGCTTTTGATAGAAAGTGATGGGTTTGGTTTGGCAAGTTTCTCATGGAAATAACGTCCACTACACTAGGTGGTGATTTAAAATAGATGTTCCCAGATATTTCTGACACAATTAAATTGAAAATCTACACAGACCCTATTGAATCTTAAATCAAAGAAGAAAAAGAAGAAGAATAACGAAATCCCAATACAAAACTTAGGATTCTTAATGATGAAACACATAAAAAGAAGGAACAGATTAAAAAAAAAATGAGTTCCATGAGAAGGAGATGGAGATGGAGAAGGAGAAGGAGATAAGATATATTATATTTCTGCTCTCTTTTCATTGCATCTGATTTAGATTGATTGAATATTAATAAAACCTGGAAGTGGTGGATCCGATAAAATCTCAAACACTTCAAATTATTAAAAAAGGGGAAAAAAAGAAGAAGAAAGAGATGAAGTCTTGAAACACAAAGGAGGATTGGATATGGATGTGAACGTACGGAAAAGGAATAATCACAATCCCAATCGTTGAATTCCCAAAAACAAGAAACTGGAAAGAGAGAGAAAGAGAAGATGGTGATAGTAGACCTATAGGAAAGAGGCACTTCAATGGAAGATGATGATGATGATGCATGTGTGTATCTACGCACTCACATATATATATTTTATATGTGATGAATTAAGTCACTGAATAACTTTGTCTGGAATATCTTGTTCCCTGACCTACCTGGGCCTCATGTATTCTACTCTCTCTTGTTTTTATTTGTTCTCCTTTGTGGTCCCTTCTCTCTCTCTCTCTTCCCTATTTTTTCTTACAATACAGTCCAACACAATTATACAAAATGCAGCCACCTTCAATGGCAAAATGTTCAAACTACAATATAATTTACATGCCTTACAAGATAATTTAATTTAAGAGATATATATAGATATGTAAAGTTAAAACATATAGAAAGGTTTAAATCTTAAACGTCTGTCCCTACTTCACCCCATTTTTATTACTTAAACTAATTCATATTTATGTTATCTAAAGTTGATTACAAAATGAAAATCTAATGATAATTTAATAAAATAAGTTATGTCATAATGGGAACAACCATCCCTCTCTCTAAATATGAGAGAGGCACTCACACATGGAGAGACACACAGCTAATCCAGCTTTTTCATTTCTTGCCTTCTTCCCTCACAGCCTGGCAAGCCTGAGTCATTATTGCTCCATCATTCCGCAGTTTTTTTAATTTGTGTTTGAGCTTTCTGGTTATTGCCTTGTTTATTGTTCTCTAATCCAGAAGGGGCTGAGGGAGAAGTTGAATGTTCTTGAGCTGCCAAGGGAGATTAGTTTTCTACTGCATATGATCTTTCTCCGAACTCATCAGCTAGAGAGAACTTCTTGGAATTTTCCATCCTTTGTGTCAGAAAACCATGAAAGAGTTGGTTTCTACTCTTAACAGTCCTACTCAATTGTGGCTAAAAATGCTGGAATGAGGAAGGAAAATGTTCGATGAGCTTCTTCACAGAAAGCTGCACCTCTATTGCTTCGTTTTTCAGGTATTACAGCTTCAGATTCCCTCCTTCTCATCGCCTAAATACAACAAAACATATAATTCTGAAAGTGTTGCGGTTCTGGGAAACCAAAGGCATTTCTGTTAGTTTTTCTTTCTTGGTATACACCCTCAGGTTTGGTACATTTAGAATTTTATTCTCAGATCGATGTCTAGAAATATCTTGAACCCAAATTGATATTGAGTCAAACTTAGGTAGTTTAGGTTGCTGGAAATATGATTCCCTGATGATTTCCTTTCAGGGAATTATATCAGAAGATTCGAGAAAATTTCGTGAGTACTGCCTCTACCCTTGACATTCAAACTCTTCAATACAGTGAGATTTTTTTTTTCTGTCAGTTAGTTCTGCTTGGGTTCTTCTGGGTCGGTCTGTTTAAGCTTCATCAGATATAAAGTTCAGGTCTTTTTTTTAAGATTTCCTAAAGGTCTTAGCTTTAAAAGGAACAAGGAGAAGTGGGAACTTTTCTGAGACGCAAATTTAAAGGTGTAGCAGATGAAGACTACTAACTAACAGTTAGTGTTACTTTCATCACACAGACCCACACATATCTGTTTGGTGTCACTAGTGCCAACATCTATTGTTCATATTTCATGCTTCTTTAATATGCCTCTGGCAATATTTGATTACACTCTTGAACATCTCAATCCAAATCCTCTGATCCTCATCACCTCTACTTTTTGGTCGGTATAGTGACAGACCCTGTTTTGACGTATTCCCAAAACAAACTAGTGTCATGCCTATATATAGCCTCTAAAAATTAGGCAAAAGGTCAATAACTAAGTCTTGTGGAGATTCGCTAAAAGGATTAGCTCAGTTGGAAAAGAAAAGGGATAGCATCTTTCCTCATCAACCAAAGTTCAATTCCTCTGAGAAGCACACTAATTTAAAAAATTTTGTAGGATGCTATAAAGCTTACATGATTGTAACTGAGGGATTAGGTTCTTGCCATGGAATTGAATCCGGTATGTTTGCCTAGAAGTCTTTCAAATCATCAGTTTTACATGATCAGGGAAGGAAAAGATAGTTCCATTCATTTTTCTTCTTTCTGTCAGGCATTTGTACAATGAAACTCATCACACCATTTTAAAACCTTGTGAGTCATAATTTTTCTCTTTTCAGGCATGGGGACCAAGATTGAGCATTCCATAAATCCTCTAGCAGTAGCTGTAGAGAGCAACAACTTTAGCATCAGTGGTGTGGATGTCTGGGAGTACTATCAGAAGAAAAGGCTGACAGGAATCAACAATAAGTCGAAAGATCCCATTTCCATGGATAGGATACTTGACAGAAACAGCATGGAATCCATCAAAAAGACAATGCAGATGCAAGAGGATATCTTCAAACACCAGGTATCATGAGGATTTGATACTGTTTTAAGATCCTGTCTAAAAAAATCTCAAGAGTCAGGCTGATCTGCTGGATTTGTTTTGGTATCTTTTACTCAGTTAGAACCACAAGTTATGGAAATCGCCAGTAATATGTGTGAAATCACAAAGCATGTGACACTAAGCATAATGATGTCAGTAACAGTACATGAAGAATTCTTTTATGTGTCATTTGACTATAATTTCAAAAAAGCCACTTGTATGCGAGCAGATTTCTGTACACCTTGTAGGAACCCCTTTTACACAAAAACCATATTTCAGTCTCAGAAGATGGCATTTTTATTGGTGAATATGTTTTGTTTCATTTTCACCCTTCCGTAAGATAGCTACACGATCTTTCTAAAATCTGTAGAGTCACAACAAAGTCATTCTCTTAGTCACAAAGTGACACAACAAACATCCCTGTGGTATCAAATTAAAGCTGGCAACATATTTCAAGGACCAAAACAAGGATTTCTTTTAAAACCACTTTCAACAATCCAATGAATGGGAGCTATATTTGATTCTCTGTGAAAGGATGCTATGATACGTTAAGATTAAACTTTAGCCACAAACTAGTTAGTTACGAGAATTTGGGAATTTGCAGGTAAGAGAACTGCACAGAGTATATAGTGTTCAAAAGATGTTGATGGAAGAACTGAAAAAGGAAAGCAGACAAAAGAATATCTGGACTGCTATGAGTGGCTTAGAAATTAGCCTTCCTTCTAATCGTCTCAGTGATCAGCAGCAACACCAGAGAAGAACACAAAATTCATATGGACCAGATTTCCAGGTTCAGAGTTTGAGAGAAGATTATTATTCAAGAGAAAGGAGTGGGAGCTGCTCTGGTGGGGACAAAATGCCTCAAAGGGGATTTGATCTTGCAAGGCCTGCTGAAGAAAATGAGGGAGAGGCAGGGCCTAGTTCATATACTGCATTTCAGAGCTGTAAAATTAGGAATGATGGTGATGACGACGACATGGAAGTTGATTTGACATTAAGTATAGGAGGTAGTGGTTGCAGCCAGGGCAAGAAGAAGAAGGAAAAAAACCATCTGCTTTATTCATCTGCATCTTTCAAATCAGAAAGAGGAGAAGAATGCAGTGACCCTAACACCCCAATGAGCAGCTCAAGTGTGACATTTGATCAAGAAAGAAGAGGGGGAATACATTGGTTTTCTCAAGATTTAAGGTTTAAATAGGAGTTTAATTCAACTAGCTTGTTTAAAAAAACCATTTCAACTCTTCTTCATGGGCCAATGAATTTATACGGTTCATACATTCAGATATTCCTCTATATTAGTTTCTTTTTCCTTTTTCCAATAAATGAATTGGATGATTTACAAACCCACATTTTAAGTGTGCTTTTTGTAAATAGGTTACCTGCACTTCGCACAATTTCTTAGTTTACATGCATGTCCAACATGTTCTTTCCCAGTTTAATGTTATTGGAAACTTTGAAGCTAGCACTATTAAAGTAGAAGTAAAGTATGAATTATACAAGTTCATGAGCTAATACGTTAATATGTCTCTGACCTCATTCTTCAAGAACTAAAATGAACTTGATGTAGAATTCGATTCTCTGGTCCGCTTCGCCTTCCCAAGCCTGGGATTACGAAGGGGGGATCATGATTATCTTCCCTGAAGAACTGCTTACTTTGAAGCTTGCGTTGGATTGATTAACAACACCAACAGAGCAGCCCAAAAGTGTCAAGACATGGCAGGATGTCAGAAATGGCTATGATTACTCTTCGTAAATTGTAAAGCTGTGTCGCTTGCACAATGGATAATCATAGATATTTGCAGCTGGATTCACTATTCTCTGTGCTTCTTGCTTCTGATTCATTTCGATACTTTCAATGCAAGTTGTTCGAGCTGAAGGGTAAATTTCTTTCTTCATAGAATATGTCATACTAACATAACAATAATAGGATTTCAGCTCAAAAAAAAAAAAACAACTATAGGATCATGTTATGTTATTGTTAGCCCAAGGAAAAAAATTTAGAACAAATATCGATGTGTAATGATAACAAGAATATATAATACATATTTTTCATTTTGTTCTTGTATGTAAGATACAAATAATCCAATTAGTTAGTTAAAATTGATTAAAAGTGACAAATGTGTAAAAATGTAAAAATGTAAATTTTTTTTCTAAATATAATCTTATTTATGGAGAGGGCAACTGAGAGAGAATGAGTGAAGAAAATGACAAAAAATGTGTGGAAAAGATAGATGAGAGAATCTACCAAAGAAAAATAATAAAATTTTAAGAGTTGATAGCATTTTTAGTTCTTGAAATTTGATTTGATTTTGGTTTTGATTCTTAAAATTTAAAATTATTGGTTTTGGTCCCTAAATAGACTAAAATGAGGTTAAATTTTAGAAACCAAAATTATTGATTTCAAATTTTAAAAAATAAAACTAAAATGAGTTGAAATTTCAAAAATTAAAGATTGTATTAACCCAACATATATTTACAGGTAAATGTGTGATAATTAATGAAATAAAAAAATGAATTAAATTTTTAGACATATACAAAATGTAACTTCTAAAAAGAACTAAAAATATCCCAAAAATTATAGCTTATAGAGAAAGAGAGTATCGAAGTAGTACGTAGAGTTATTCATAATACTAATATTATAAAATCACTTTTAAAATTATAATTTAGTTTGTACTTAGATATCCCTATGCCATATGAAATCTTAGGCCTTTTATTGATTTTTTATATATACAACCATATGATATCTGATATAAAAGAGTCAAATATAAGAAATCAGACTAATCGAGACTAACTCTATCATTATTTGGGAAAATTATAAATAAAGACCCCCTAATTTGAAATTGTGATTTAGGACCCTTAATTTGAAAAATAGCAAATAAAGACCTGATCTCACTTTTGTAAATATGAAATCGTGATGAAATGTCTGAAATACCTCTTAGTCAAATGACAAGTTACCTATGAGAAATGACAAGTTTACTTTAATGAATGACAACTTTAATAGACCAAATCACAACTTGGTTAAAGGTATGCCAAATGACAAGTTGAATATAAGAAATGACAAGTTTACTTTAGCGAATGACAACTTTAATAGATCAAATCACAATTTGGCTGAGGGGTATTTCAGATATTTTACCCATATTTCATATTTGCAAAAGTAAGACCTGATCTTTATTTGCTATTTTCTAAATTTAAAGTTCCAAATCACAATTTGACATATTGAGAGGTCTTTATTTGTAATTTTTTCTTATTTTTTCTCTCCACAATATTCAAACCTCAATCTTAATTGGGGAAAGTTGTATGCTTTTCAGCCAACTCAATCACCATTCTATTAGACTCTTACGTCTAGGTTTAGGATAGGAAGGAGTATTTTATTTAAAAAGATATAAATTTAATAAATACTCCTCTGGTCCTTATTATAAGACCCAATTTGACTTTTTATTTGGTCCTAATTATAAGACCCAATCCATTTTGTCTCTTATATTTATACATTTTTTTTCTAAGATAATCCTTCTAATAATGATAGTTTTAGCCAATATACTTAATTAGCAAGGATATTTAGGAATGACAACACTTATTTATTATAAATAACCAACTTAACTCACTTCCTTAATCTCCTCAAATAAGTCAATTGGGTCTTATAATTAGGACCGGAGGAGTATTTTTTTGCAGTAATATGAAAATTAATAGTTATTTGATGAATTTTTTTTCCTTTATTAACACACATTACAAGATATACCTGAGTCCCCATTTGAAAATATTATTTTTCTTATTTTTATAAGAAATATTATTAAAATAAAAATATTTTTTAAATCATGAATTTAAAAAATTGATAATAAATTAATTGTTACAAAAATTAGAAAAATAATAAATTTGAGCCCCTCACGCTCTCTCCATTTTCCCAACATTTCGCAAAATTTTCACCCAAAATCACCCACAAACGCTAAGATGAGATTCTTTTCCCCATAGCCATGGTTGAAGCTTGAAGATGAAGTTTTCTTCTTCGAACTACAGAAGGTATCTTAAGCATGTTTTATTGTGAAAAGATTGAAACTAAACTTTTATTTCTTTTGATTTCTTCAATAACATCGCATAACCCCTCAATAAAGCTAATGTTAATAACTGTTGTGGAAAAAGAAATAGGAGAAAGATGACAAGTTGACTGGGTTTTACAAAGCTGTACACACACACACACTTCATCCTCAATTATCATTACACCTATAAGTAGACTGCATTTGCAGGTTCAGTTACTTTGCCAAACAAATTTGAATCAAAGAATGAAGATTGACATGAAAATCCCAATAAAAGGGGCATGTCAAAATACAACCTGTGCTCTACAAAACACATATTTCCAGGCAACTAGATCCAGAAAGAATGAATGCTAAAAATCTCTAATTTTCATTCTTCATGAAAAGGCTTGTTGGGAGCAGAAGCAGCTACCCTTAAAAAAAAAATACACTGATGCTGTCCCTTTGCTCTTCCATATGACCAGTTTCTTCTCACTGGAAAATAAAGATCACACTCGGATCAGAAGCTCCCTGTGCAGTAACAATTAGCAAGGATGAAAATGTTGAAGTTTCATATATTAGTATTTAAGGTAATGCGTGCTGCTTTAGCTACAAGAATCTCATAGAATGACACAATTTAAGTATTATGTCAGACATTTGAAAAAATCATAGGCATTCTGAATCACACCCCTTTCTTGAGTTTTGTAAACTTGTTAATGTCACTTAGATTATTTCTATGACAACTTCTAACCGTCATAACAATCACCAGCATTGTAAATGCTATTGTATTTTACTATTTTATACCTTGTTATCTTATATGATGGTATCCAAGAAAGTAACAATGTCACAAAAAGCTTGGTTTTATACTCTGATCAATCATGAAGGAAAAATAAAAATAATGCATGAAGTTTTGCGAGAAAGTTTCCTTGTACCTGCAACCTAAACCACAGGGATCTGATAGAATGAAAGGTATGCTGCGACTCAAAATAACTGAATGGCCATCTTGAGTTTGTTCTGTTTCCATTTGGGCACCTTGTAGAAATCCTTTTTTGTCATCCCCAACTTCTCTTTGAACTCCTCAGCTGACATATAAGCCTGCATGCATTAAGCTCAAAACAAGTTAAAACTAAAATCAAAGAATGCCTAACTATAAGACCCAACAGATTCAAAATTTCATTGTACCTCTCGCCTGGTCACATCAATGTCTGGTACGGGATCTTCAGATCCTATTTTGAGACGTTCATATGGGTAAACGGGGAGACCTTCATCATCTTCAGCTTCACCCTCTTTCATATCTTCTTCTATACTGCCCATAGAATCTCTCCCATTGCTCGTCTCTGGCTTTGAGGACTCTCGGTTCACTTCACATTATAACAATGCATAGAACAATAGAAAAGGCCTTTTTATATCAGCAAATGCCAATATAGCAATTGTGAAAAGGAGCAACTTGAACAAACTCATCTCTATAGGATACCTTTGAATGATCGAGGGATAAAATTTTCTTTTGATGGACGGAATGCTTCAAAACTGGAACTTAGTGCAGCTATAACTGCAGATTTGGGTGCCAATTTTGCTGACTCTGGCGTCAGAGACTTCGCATACAGCTTTCTAACAATAGGAGGTGGGGTTGAAAGGTTTCTGTCCTTGGGACCTTCAAATGCAGCTGCCAACGCATTAAAGGCTGGAGACCTGCCCCTCACACGAACACGATCAGGAGTAGCGCACACACTGCGAGAACGCTGGGCTTTTTCTGGTGCACCACCCGACCGTCCTCCATAAGACACCGATGTTCTCCGTTTTGGTCTCTGATCATGTGCAACAAATTCAACAATAAAAGAGAATAAATCAGAACAACACAAAAGCTGAGTCAAGTTAAGGGGAAGAAAATTAATAGTTCATCAAACTGTTAAGAATTTGGATAATTCTCCATATTATGTAGAACCTACAAAGATCCATATTTACCCCTTATGAAGAAATCTGCAGCAAGTTCATTATTTATCATAAGACACAATAAATACCAGTATATCCATTTTGAGTCATCAAAATATAATACAAAAGGGGAGAAGTCTTTCAAGCATTTCATTCCTAGAACTGTTAGAAAGAAATACCGACAGAATAAGAATGTGAGAAGAACAAAAGGCAAGTACAAAAGTATAGGGAATTAATCAGGAGGAGCCTTTTTGTACTATAAAACGATCACATACTCCTACGAAAAATTGAGGGCGGAAAATGTGAGGGCATACGAATGATTAAATGAGTGTCCCGTGGTCATTTGTATCTATCCTTATAAGCAGTTGTCCAGGATGATAAAGGAAGCAAGATGAAACAAGAAGTCTTACATCCAAAGGTGGAGTGCCCCCATTTTTCATTATTGTAAGCCTCCTTTGAAATGAGTTTCCCAGCATCTGACGATAAAATATAAAAAAATTGTCATATTTTTAGGAAGGATCTCAAGTAGAATCATTACACCATTACATTGAGGAACTCACCGCAGATTTTGCAGACTCCCATTTGAAGAAGCGAGTGAAGAAAGGTGGTTCACTCCCTTCCATCACAACATATATTAGAGCTTCACGAGATAAATTTTCCATACAAAAATCATGCTCAAGAAATTTCTGTTTAATTGAAGTAAATAAGTTAAATATTTCACACCTGACTTTTTACTGAGAGAAGTTTATGCATTGAAATTGCTCCAGTCTAAAACTCATGGGGGAGTGATGATGAAAGGAATACCATAGTCATCAGAAAAAAGTGTAAAGGGAGATACCATAGGTGATTCAATATTAGAGATATAATAGATAAAACACTTAAACTGGTGGTAAAGACTTCAATGCTAGCCGCTAAGTAAATATGGCTATGGCTTCTAGCCAAAATAAAACCAGTTATACCTCTCCAATTGTTAGAGCTTTCGTTCTACTCTTGAGGTCAATCTGCTGGCCAACCCAGACAAAGATTTCTGAGTGACAATTCAAGACCATAATATCTTCAGTCATTAAATCATCCTGGGAAAAGTTGTATACTTCTGTCACCTGCAAATACAGTTTCTCATCAAATGATATAAATTCTCCTTTGCAACTCCACCTTCGCACAAAGAAGTAAATTGACCCTTAGTCGTATGTACTTCATAAATATGCTTGACAAATTAAAGTCTTAAACAAAATGATGCATAGCACGTCAAAGACTTCCTATCAGAATTCTTCATCCAGAGAAATTTGGAGGAAGCTGAGATGTCCATAACCAACTCAACCAGCAGAGATCATCTTGTCCTAATATATTTGCTTGCTTTATTTGACTCTTCGATCCGCAGGTAAGCTACGTGTGCGCACATGTGCGTGCATATGTGTTTTTAACAGATTTCTTATTCATACGCTGACTAGTTATTTAAGCTCGAGTCACACAGCTTAATGATTTTCATCCTCGTTTTTCAGCTGCTTCTCTCCTGTCTTAGACTGGAACTTTATGTACTTTGTGAATTTTCAGATTGATCGAACCAGCTCATATTTCCATAGCTATTGAATCAATTATAACTTGTTATTATCATCACTTGCTCCGTTTTTTTTTTTTTTTAATAGCCAAACATCACTTGCTTAAGTACTCATTATTTCAGAAGATAAGCGCCCTAACAGGGCTAATAATGAACAAAATATTGGTGATGTCAAGGACTTTGTTAACAATCCCCCTCTTACCACAGGATCTCCATAACTCAGAACTATTCCAAATTAACAGCCACATGAGGGAAATAAGGGAAAAAAATCAATATGAAATTAAACTCACCTTCAAATTTTCTGCGCATTTGTTTGATCAGGAAGCCAGAAAAAAACATCATCGTAAGACGTCAGCCATTTTCCTCCAAAAAGGGGTGATTGAGACAAAATAAAACCTTCATAAAAAATAATCCTCACCTTTTGATAAGTTGCAAGAAAATAGGCGAGGATCACTTTCGGCATCCCTTACAATCTTTTGACTGGGATATTCTGATTTTCCTCCTAACAAATCCCAAAACTGTTCCGACTCTGAACCTTCCTTTTGTGGTTTGGTTTGTAATTCCGGCTGCAAACAATTGCCAAGCATATAAGAACCAGATAAACATGGAAACCTGACCATACAAAAGTAACAAAAATTTAATGACAATGTCCTGAAAATTCAAAATGTTCAGAAACTCAAAGTTGAGATCTGAAACATTAGAAGTACGAGTTGTGTGGGGATATATGATCAAAAACCTGGGATATATTTAACTATTCTCAGCTCGTAATCATATAAGAAATCAACCAATATCAGCTGCTAATATGTCAACAAAAAAAAAAGGTGTTTGTTTGGATTCCTCAAAATTCTCTCTCTTTAAAGTATGTCATTGAACAAATCATACCTTTATCAAATCCAGCATCCTCTCAACTAGTTCATGATCATCTGAGTTCGTAAGGCTCCCAAGCCAAGTGAAGACTGTGGGCCCATCATGAAGTATGTAGCAATATGAGGAATTCAAGGAGGAAGCGACCTAGTAGTGGGGGGAAAAAAAAGAGAAAACTTTATTACATAAATAAAATCTGTTCATTTAAAATAGGTCTGTTGCCCATGCAAAAAATGGTTGGACAGAAAAGAGCCAGCATAAAGAAAGAGGACAACGTACTTGATCGACTTGTATAGCTTGCATGCTTTCAGGTCCTGAGCCCTGGATGCGGAACAGTGCTACACCATCTTCCTTGTAAGTGTCATCCGGAATTTCCTTCTCCGTAATGTAATTTTTATATCCATTACTAAGACCACCCTAACAGAAAATTAAGTGAATGCAGTTAAGAATATGTGTATATGAAGTCACCCAGAAGAAATTAAAAAAAGAATATGTTTATGAAGATGGATTTGTCTTAGATCAGAACCCCACAAACCTTAAAAACAATAAAGCTTTGGAGGATGGAGTAAAACTGAATTGGCTCATTCCCTTCATAGATTCGAGCCTAGGAATCAATAACACATGGATAACATCAGCAAGGACAAAATAATAATGACAATTGATGCATCAACAAAGTGAAAAATATCATATTTAAACGAAAATCACCTGGGTAGGGATAAACTTCATTGATTCAACAATTTTGCTTGCCAATGAAATAGCTGAAGTTCTTTCTTCCTGTTTTCGACGAAAAAAAAGAAAAGAAAAAAGATCATAAGCAATGCAGGAAATAGATTCACAGTACTGCAACGCAGATATATAGCAAGAAAGTAATTAGCTCCATAAAAACATTATGCTGCCAGACTAGTTAATCATTTAGTTATAAAGGAGAAATTCATAACACATGCATAGACGCATGTAGAAGTAGAATTAAATGCATTTGATTTTCACCTCAACACTGTTCTTTCCAATCCATGTCATTACAAGATGTTCTTCTCGATCTTCTCCTGGATATGAGTAGAGAAAGACATAGCAATCACCACTATAAAGTTTTGATTGATCAGAATCTTGAAGTAGAATCTTTTCCTGGCCATTCACCCGCCAAACCTATATGGTAATCAAGGTGAAGTTAACAACAGAAGCAAAAGGCAGTATGAAAATGAAAATACCGAAGACATAATACAAATCTGTGGCCATATATCAATGTAACAATTCATGAAGCTCAACAACTGGAAGCCTTGTCCAAATCCTGACATAATGGATCGAGCAAAGGACTACTCACACGTTTTTGCCAAGACTCATCATTTATTTAGGGCAGCAACTATGAGAAGATCTGAGGGACATGGGGAATCCTCCATTAAAAGTGAACTATCAAGAGAATGAATCATAACACCGGCTCTAAGAACCAACACCTTGATGGTTACATTCTACTGCACTACCCTTACGGTTTTCACCTTTTGCCAGTCAAAACCGTCCATAGAATGACAGGACTCAAGGAGAAGTAGGGAACTCACTCTTAAAAGCGCATGGTCAAGAGGGAAAAACTACTCTCCTTAAGTACCACTACAGACATCCCATACTACTCTATGAGACTCAGGCATTTGTATGAATGACTCAAACCCTAAAACTGGAAGAAGGGGGGAAAACTGGGATGAAATCCGTCTCCTAATACATAAGAATACACTATTATTGCAAATGACCAACTCTTAATAGACTCATTAAGAAAATAAATAGGAATTGGTTAAGGCTCACCAATTATCTCATTATGATAAAACCCTCCTAATGTAATAATAAAAGAAAAAGTAAACAAAGATTTGTAGGTTCAGGAAATGGCAGGTAACCCACACTACGTAAGTCGCCTCCTGAATTCTTGACTCACTCTTTTTTAAAAGAAGATAGTGAGTATGTGCTCTGTTTGCTCTGCATGAGTCAAAAGTAGCCAAATTTCACATATCCCAAGATTTGATAGAGTACATCTCCGTGAACCACAAGCTTAAGTATTCTGCTACGGTTTTAATAATATGGTGATTGTGATTCTAAAAAATTTTCTCTTCTCAACATAGCACTTGAAAAGGAAATCTAAATCATAAGTGAAAAAAAAAGAAACATTGTGTATTACCTGCAAACGTCCTGTGCAATCAATGTGGGGTTCAGGTTCTTCTTTTACTGGATCAACTTTCAACAGACCCTTGACGTCCACTCCTTGACGCTTTAGAAGCGCTGCAACATCATCAATAAATAATAATCAATAAGTATTAAAAAAATAAATTTAAGAGTAGAGTAATCCATTCAGGCCAAAAAGAACCACAAGTTCAATTGCACTTACCTGCCACCCTGCCACGACCATCTTCTGACACAGTTACGTTAGGTGCTTGAGGCCAAGAATCAAACTTGGACCTGAACATCACAGTTTCAAATCCTTCAATCACACGAACTATGTGAGATTTTAGTCGATCAGGGCAACTGATTAATTCCTGTTAGTTGATCAAGAGACATCATGAGTTTTTTACGAATAAGACATTAAATATTCCAAGAAATAAATTACAGGCATTACTTCTGCAGCTGCACTTGCACTTTTTCTTTCATCAAGAGAGGTATTTCTTCCCATCCAAATAAAGACTTCCAAACCACAATCAAGAATATAACATTTATTTGTGTCTAGTAGCTCTCTTGTCAAAGAATCACTCTCAGTAGGTTCTGCCTGCCCCTTCACAATACTGGAAAAATTAGAGCCCTTCCATTAGAACAACAGCATTGTAGATTCCAATGTTTCAATATAAACAGTGTACTTCCACCATGTTCAAAACTAATTTCAAATATAACATATAATCAACTTATACAGCTTCAGGACAAAAGAACAATAAATTTGTAAGAATCCTGCCCTGATACACATGGTATATTTGTCAAGGGAGAGAAAACAAAAAAGCAATCAGTAAAAGAGGAATAACACAAATGCATGCGAACACAGACCCTCTTCCATCAATTAAGTTTTACTGATGAATGAAATACATTGGCAGAATACAAATGAGAATACCATAGATAAAACATAGAATATATTACCATAGCAGCTTAGGAGGCTGAGAATTAACAGTATTATCATCATCACTGGCTGTTTTCCGTGGAAGAGGAGCAAAGCCCCCAAAGAAGGCCCAAAATTCTCCAGCATCAGCATCAGCCATCAACCTTCCATCCTCTACATTTTGTACAGGTGTATGTATTCAATTAGTGATATTTAGCAATAGCCTTTGAGCTTTAAAAATATAGCTGTCCACTTACCAACAGTGGCAACATCACATTTTCCATCATGGTAGTTATCCTTTATATACTGTAGTACTTCCAATGCTTTAGCCCTTTCTTGAATAGATGAATTAGAACCATTAAATTGAAAGATTTTAGACTTGGTATCCAGAATAAAAACATCATCATGGGTGAGTGTTGAGCGTGTAAAAGGAACCTAAAACCAAGATAAATAACTGTTCAGCAAGTTAAAAATGATGTTTCAATTCATTTGCACTGTCTTTATCAAGAGGGCATGCTATTGCTACACTACAATGTCAATAGCCAAGGAATAATGTCAGACTTGCCTCTTTGACACGTACAACATGTCTCCCTTGGCATACATACAAACGTGTTGTATGTTCCTCAGCCTCAGCATGTTTGAAACCAGAGGCAACTCCACCTTCTTGAGGAATTATACATGGTTTGAAATAAGACAAGAATTTTTCAGTTTCATGACCCTGTGATTCCCGATACTGTACAGCACGTCCTCCAAGAGCTGCATCCAGCTCAATCGTTTTGATGGCTGCAACGCCAGCTTCATCCTGGTTCAATTTACCTTATTTAGGAAGCATGTTGCAAGATATTACTGTAATTTTTACCCAAAAAAAAAAAAAACAGCAGTATGTTAGCAACTAAACCTACAACCTACCTGACTGCTGTCTTTACCCAGCCAGTAATGGATATCATGACGCAGTGCACCACCTTTTGAAGCTGTTGTCTACACAGAGACGACAAGAAATTTAAAAGCAGAATAATAGCAATATTTTATAATAATAAAAAGAATCTTGATGTTTAACGAACTTGATAAAAAGTAAACTAACAGATTAGCAATTATTCCCAACACTTGGAATCATCAGAAAACAAAACGATAGAAGTCCATAAAGTGCTGGAGAGGAGGATACTGAAACTTGAGTTAGAGACTTTAGTAACAATTTATATTCTAACCAAGTGGGAAACAAAGCTTTCAGGAAAGAAACGAAAAATTTATAATGAACTCAACTGATATTCATGCATGAAGAGAAAAGTATTTCTCACGTATAAAGACATTATTTTTCAAGCTATGGACAAACTCTGCACCAAACGCCTTTGGGAACAAGAGTTCCCATTAATGGCAGAACAGACATGAATTACCTTATTAATGGACCTAGTTATCCTTTTCTCGTACATGATAACAATCAAAAGGCTTGATGGGCTAAGTCTCTTAGCTTAAAGATCCGCTGTGAATCACTAGTGGAACAATTCTTGTGATCTTAAGATGAAGAAAAGATTCTATTCAAAAAAGGAAAAAAAGATGAAGACACTGATGACATTGACAACTATAAACATGGTCATGGTCATGGTCACCTATTAGTTGAGCAAATTGTCATTGCATCCTTATATGAGATGATATTAATGTCTTCATGTTCATAATCAAGTTACAGGACGAAATTCAATAACAAAGGTTTACGCCTGATATGATTTATCATATAGAATGAGATGCGCTGGGATATTTCAAATCTGCGGGTCTTAAAATATGCGTGTTCCTCCAAATGTTTAGAAAAGAATGAAAGCTGAAATTAATTTCACGTGCCATGACATATTAATGTTGTTTTATATGTCATACTGGCAATAGGTTAGTGCGCATTACGTGTCCAGTAATACAGAAATAAAAGCTTCTAGCAACTGCAGAAGCCAACATGAAAATAATGCTATCATGGAGAGGAAAAAAAGGGGTAAAACTAATGGCTTACCTTCAAGATAACGTAGGAATCCCCTGTGAAAAACGTCCCATAGGAGGAAGTCGGAACAGCAACTGGTTTTAAATTCTCAATGCGCCATATTTCAAGTCCACTATATATAGTTAAGAAGAACTAGGAAGAGATTAAAGCATGAAATCAAATTAACATAGAACAGAAGCAAAATAAATTCTCAAAGAAATCTTGTCAGGACTCTGTTTCTAGTATCAATCAATTTCAGAGGAAACTTAAACTGATAGAAAATGAGTGACTTTCTAGATGAGAATCTGATGAGTTGCAAACAGCACGATATGCTTATTTATTTAGGATACGCCTTTTGTCCAGCTCCCTGGAAAGCTGGATCCAAATCTCTCATGGAAACAGACATAATATTCTACTTTTCGGTCTCGTATAACCAAACTGGAATATAACAAAGAATAGCCTGAAATGGAATCATAAAACAAAGATCAAGCTTAGAAAGGTCAGTTGAACGGGTGAAGCTGATGAAGTGGATTGTCAATTGGAAAAGGAAACATAAATGTTTTTACTAATCGTTCTGGAGAGGAATTTCTGTTTCAGAAATTTTTTATCAGTGACATTAATCGGGAATTAGACAAATTAATCAAGAATTGAGCTAGATAATCCAAAATTAAGAGGATAACACAATAAAATGGTCTTTGGGTTAATGAAAAATAGCAAAACCTTGGCTAAATTATGATGTTTTATTTATTATATTGTTCATGCTACGCACAAGGTAACTAATGTCTAATGACCCAAATGCTTCCCCATTTTCCACCCAATAAAATGGCTCATGCGAGGCCGCACAGATGCATGCAGAAGAGGAACAATTGCAAATAGTTTCACTGATGCAACGAAAGGTGCAGTTAAGCGTTCCACAGCATTAAATTACACAAGGTGACTCTCTCAAAAGCTGTTTCTGTGCAACTAACTGCCCGCTTTCTACACGCGAAGTATATTAAGTGTTAGCAAGAAGAAAAGACCAGAAATGCCAGAAATTTCCAGAGATGACATTCAAATGCTCACAGTTAACAACGGCGCAAGAACAGTCGCACATAAATACGCGGGTGACATGCACGCACATATGCATGCAACAGTGCAGTTGATCTTGGTCGTTTACATTTTCGGATTTTTCGATAACTTCGATATCCTCCGGTTTCAATTGCGTCAAATTTCACAGTATTTCACATCAAACAAAGAAACCTTTACTAGATTAAGTCGTCAAAAATAGCCTTTCTTGCACAGCCTTTGCAGTGAAACAAACTGTGTGACTTGGTTCAAACTCAAGCTAAACGCAGAAGAGCGTAGTTCGTTCATTTTTTTTTTATAAATATTTTCTTGTGTAACTGAAGCATTCAATGAAGCACGTTTCGTGTTCTAACATACCTGAAGATAGAAGCAGAGCAGCTAAAGAACGTGTCTTATTGAAGTCAACAAAAATTCAGAGGAATTCCATAAAGACGAAACCGAAATTGGAGGATCAAACTCAACGGTTGGTGAATCCAAATGATTAGCAGCACATGCATTCTAAGGAACAAAATCGCTGAAAATCATATGAATTTCGGGGAAGCTGAAGACGGGAAAAACTTGAGTGAGCAAAAATGAAGAAAGAAGAGTGCGCTAGTGGAAGAAGAAGGTAGAAAGACGAAGGAGTTTTGGAGGGAACGATGACGGATAATGCCAAACGTGCTTATCTCTAACGGCCACAAAAAGCCACACCACCCTACAGAGCTACGTGAACTGTAATGTAAAATCTACAATGAAAGACTCAGAGAAACAAACAAATTTTTTGTCTCTATATGGGGAAAGCAACATTGTTTAATTTGGAGGGAAACTACTGAAGAATCATGACGCTTGAGAAAATTACAGCCTGAGCGTAAATGGGGAGAAAAGGGGATTTCAACAAGAAAATCTCTTTCAGGTGACAAATGGGATGAATTGAAAGGCAAATCCAAGAACAACAAAAGCATTTCAAAAGCGTAACAAGCAAGTAAGTACCTTCTCACCAAATTCACCTACAGGAGAAAATCCATTGTTCTTGGTTGATCTGAATAAACATATAATTATTATTATTTTTTTTAAATTCCACTGTAATAATTTTTATTTTCTGTTGGTGAAATGCAATTTCTTTGTTTAGTCTTCTTGTTGTAGAGGGATGTAGGAAGAAAGACTTGATGGATGGCAATGGAGGGAGCTGACTTCCGCTTTGCGAGGAGTGGATGCGATAAAAGAGAGACAAACGGTGAGGCTAATGCTATTAATATTATCATTCAGTTCAAATCGCCATGAAAGCTTAAGGTGGTCCTACTTGCTAGGAACTTCAAAGAGAGAAAGCAAAGATTTTTTGAATTCCTGTTTGTATACAACAAGTCCTAAATATTAGGTAATGATGATGCCAAAATTATCCAATTAGGCTCCTCACAAGTTTAAGAACTTTCAAGTCGTTCCCTGTTATTTTCCGTACACGCTCTTCAAATTGACCCCAACAATATTTGGTACTTTTTTAATAAAGTGTTCATTATTATAAAAGTAAATATTTGGAGGTTTTAAATAAGAAAAATAATTATTAAAAAGTCTCAACAACAACTTAAATAACTATAATAACAGGTATCAAAATAGGAAACGAAAAAACTTATTTTGTAATTGTTTTTTTTTTAAAACTTCATTGAAATTCTTCCTAAAAAGATAGTGTTGCATAGGGGAGAGCTTATATTAGTAAATAAGTGAATCCAAATATATGCAATGTTGACAATAAAAATGAAAATAACTTTTTAAAAAAATTAGGCAGGTTGGCTTAATGGGTTCGGGTTGGTATTTGTCAATTTGCACTACTTGGTTCCTTGGCTATTACATACTAAGCTGCAATTCATAGGTCAACCCACATTCTCGGCTTTTTAACCACTAATATTTATACATTCAATTTAAACAAAAAAAAAAACAGAAAAACAACAAGAAGAATTTAATGGTGAGACCTTGTCTTACTTTTCATCCACTCCTCTCTAGTCATTAATGTAATACCTAATTAACTGATTTAGATATATTAAAGATGTTAGTTAAATACTTAGATTAGTTAATATAATACTACTTTCGGTACTTAATATAAAAACTAGTTGACTAATTTGAGTAAATTAAGAAAATTAGTTAAGTTAGTTATTTGTAATAAATAGATGTTGCATTAATCAAATGTATTAACTAGAACTATCACTGTTACAATAATTATCTTAAAAAAATACTCCTCCGGTCCTAATTATAAGACCCAATTGACTTATTTGAGGAAATTAAGGAAGTAAGTTAAGTTGGTTATTTATAATAAATAAGTGTTGTCATTCCTAAAATATCCTTGCTAATTAAGTATATTGGCTAAAACTATCATTATTAGAAGGATTATCTTGGAAAAAATGCATAAATATAAGAGACAAAATGGATTGGGTCTTATAATTAGGACCAAATAAAAAGTCAAATTGGGTCTTATAATAAGGACCGGAGGAGTAAATAAATATGAGAGACAAAGTGGATTAGGGTCTTTAGGACCAAAATAAAAGTTAAATGAGCTCTTATATGAAAGATTGGAGGTAGTATATTTTTTTTCCTAAAATGCCCAAATTATTTTCCTTAATTATCTCCTTTTCTCTCCTACTTAATTATTATTAAAAAAAATGTCATTAGAATTAATTTTAAAAAAACTAATAAATATGTGAAATAGATCTTATATATAAAATCAATATTAACTCTCGGATTAGGGCCTATGTTGATAACCGAAGTATTATATAACTCGTTCCATCTTAAATGCTTCATGTAAAAAGCAAGATTGTGCATATGTGCATGTATAAATGTTCCGTCCATTGAAAGATTGTTATAAGATAAAATTCTAGATTTCTAGTACCTCCGGTATCTTATCTAATTATTAAGATGAAAGGTTACAAAATCTCATTCATTTAAGTACATTTATGTCAAATCAAGAGTCATCATTAAAACTATTTAAATCATATGCAAATCAAATCAAACGCCATAAATATATAGACGACATCCGCCAGTATATAAATCAAGGCGTGGCATCATTCACATCACAGCCCACCTTTCTAACTTTTTTTCCGGCCAAAAGCCCACCTTTCTAACTTAGAATTGTCAGATTGTAGGTGAACGACTGAACATGGCCAAGCTCTCCTTCGTATCCTGCGTTCTCTTTCTCTTATTTGTTGCCTTCGCAGGTATTGGTAAATATTTTTCGGCATATTTTTACATTCTATTTTTATTATAATCTAATGTGAAGTTAATGACTTTAGACAAATTTAACTATTAAGATAATATTTTATTATTAAGATGATGTTAGAGAAACAACAAATATAAGTTATAGTTTTTGGGATGTATAAGGTGGATCATTTCTATAAGTTACATTTTGTAGTCGTCTGAAAATCTAATTCACTTTGTTCATTTTTACCCCTAAATATTACATGCTTCTCTTATTTATTTTTCCCCTTATTATTTCTCTTCTTTTTTCCGGCTCTTTCTGCCTCTCACCCACACTCGCCATAAATAAGAATATATTTGAGAAAAATATATTTATTATTCATTTATTGTCTTTAACTAATTTTTTTATCTACATAATTCATTTATTTATAACTTAGGTCCAATTTTTCAGTCAGATAATAAAAATTTACATCGATAAAATTTCAACATTGACCTAGTAGACCATTGTCAATAATAAAAAAGAAATCACACATAGCAATATTTGATTGGAAAATTGAACCTAATATAAGTTTTATCCATAATTGACAAAACATTCTCAGACACATGCATATCGAATTTAATTTTAAAAAAATAACAATGATTGTTAAAAAAATTCATCCTTGAAAATTGCAGCACGGCAAAGCAGATTCAATTCATATTACTAATTATTTAATTCTAATTTTAATTTTATTAAACAGGAAATTTAATGGTTAAGGTGAGTGGGGAAGATTGCCATGAGGATTTGGGAGTATGTGATGCAGATTGTTTTGAGAGGTGCAAAGCGGCTCACCCAAAGGGACAAGGCTCATGTGTGGGCCCTCAGATCTGCAGGTGTCTGTTTAATGAGTGTAAGACTTGCAGTGAGCAATTGGGACTGGCTGGGAGTTGCGATCTGGATCGGTGCAAAGCTCAGTGTGCAGCCAAACACCCTAATCGCAAAGCTGTTGGTTCTTGCTATTCCGCTGGTGCTCCTTTTAGTAACTGCATGTGTGATTATGACTGCTGGTAATTAATTATTTCATTAATTAAGCTCTTAATCATCAAACAAAAGGCGATGAGTGGCTTCGGCTTATTGTAGGGCGTGTTAATTGTAATAAAAAATGGCAATTTATTATATGATGAGAAACGCATGTCTCTTACTTATT